TTTTTTTTTTTTTTTTTTTTTCGTAAATGATTTTGAAAGAACTAAACGATTTTTAAGTCACTTTTGACACTTTTATATATACAATCTTATACATGTTTTTTTTTATCTGTCGGTTAATAGTTGCTTTCAACATAAACGTGTTCGTTATCACATCGTTCCATTGCAAAAGGTAATTATTTCTGACCTCGTTTAGATTATTTCATCTATTTCAGGTATAATAAAGAAAATGAAACTTACTGCTTTAACAAAAAAAAAAAAAAAAAAAGAAGAATCTATTAATAACAAGAATAATCGAAAACCATCTAATATATTACATCGATCAACCATCATCAATCATCTTTTGCACTTCGCTTAAAAAACTTCTCTTAAATTCCGTTTATTTCTTTATACACGCGTACACTGTTAACAGAACGGATCTTTCATTACCTTCATTATCTTTACAAATAAGGCACGCGATCCTAATTATTGCACAATTGACATGAACCTTTACGAAGATAACAAGAGTTAATAAGATCCAATCTCTCCAATCGCCGACCAACCAACTTCTTCCTCCAACCCTAGCGGTATCCTACGACAAACGAGAAATAAGAATCCACGTCCCCTAATTAAATTTATTCAACCAACCTCGAGGAGGTAACAACACATTCCCCGATCAATCTCCTTTCCTCCCACTCGTGAACGGCTAGTTTCTTTGCGCACATCGTCACATATTTGCTCCTCTCCTCATCCTCGAACCGGGATTAAGAGTCTCGCAGGGTGTGTTTCGTTCTCGTGACACGCGATATTAAGCGAAAGGTATACACGAAAAGGGGTGGATGGATAAAGGTTGGGGCTCGTTTCCTCGGCATCGACGCGTTGTCGTTCGATAAACGACGAGTTTACGAGCGAATCGATTTTTTTTTTTCATATTAGCCTAGGCGGTGCATCCCCTGGTGAAAGGCAAGGACGAGATCGCGTGTCCAAGAGGGTGAAGGAGGAGGAGGAGGAGGAGGGGGAGGAAGCGGTGAGAGGAATCGATCGGTTTCCACGTGGCCTCGGCCAACTGAAAGATTCGAACGGTCGATGAATTATCGAACGCCGGGTCTGTTCCAAGACGTTCTCAAGACGGCCCCGGGGAAAATCCCTGACGAAACGGTTTTAAATATATACGCGGACCCCACCCCGCGATCGCTGTCCGACTGTCGATCACGTTTCATCAACGGTTACAGAAAATGGGTGTAAAATACGCCAAATGGACGTAGTGGAGGCTTTAAAGTTTCTTTTTTTTTTCTTTTTATTCCTTCTCTTCTTCCTTTATTCGTCCATTTTTTTGTCTTTCGTCCATTCATGGGTACTTTTCCACGATACACGAGCGACACTCGAAATGAAATTTTATAATTCGAAAGTGGATAATGAATAATAGATTGTACGGTAGATTTAATCCATTTCTTCTTTTCTCTCTTTTTTTTCTCTCCGTCCTCTTTATCGTTTCCGTATTTATAGATGTATTTGTTTCTCGACGATGTAAAATGAAATTTGAAGTAAAAATTTGGAAATAAAAATTGTAACGAAGTTTAATAATTCTTGAGATCGTGTAGAGATACTTTTATTATACGGTTTAGTTTCCTCGTTTCTTTTTTTTTTTTCCTCTTCTCCATCATTTAGTCTCGTTATTTATAGATATTTTTTTTTTTTTTTGATGATAAATACACACACGAAGAGACATACGCGAATCGCGAAGCGAACGTTGCTTCGGATTTTGCAAATTTTATAATTCAGAGATGAAAGATTGATTCAGTACAAGTGGAAGAAACAGTTGTTAGAAGATAAATCCATCGGGTGAAACAAAATACGATATTCAATTTTAATCTCTGTTGAGATTAAAATCATTTGAAATTTTCCATTTCTTTCTTGTTTCGAAATAAATCCTTCAGGTAAAAAAAATATATATATATATACATATATATCTTGATATATAATTTTAATTTCTTAAGATCATTTCGAGATATTTTAATTTCTTTTTGTTCTTTTTTCTCTCTCTTATTTTGATCACCGTATGAGAACAATTCGATGAAAGGGGACAGTTTATTTTCAATCGTTCGTGGGGAAGATTATCTTTTATCGGGTGAACGTTTGATTTATGATTTACAAGGAAGTTTTACAAAAAAAAAAAGAAAGAAAAAAGAAAAAAGAACGATTTAACACTGTCAAAAGTGTCGCAGAGATTGAGAAATTGGAGGACAAAGAGAAGGGGGAGAAAGGCAACATGTGTTGGCCGGCTCTTTGTATCCTCCGCATAATTTCTGAATGACTTTGTTCCAAGGAAAAGGGGGATGGTCGAGGATCGTGGTGTCAACACGGTTCCAAAACGTCGGTCGTTGACCGATCGTGTTGCAACGATTCAATGTTTTTCTAAATTAAAATCTCAATTTTTCATAAGCAACATCAAACGAAAAAAAAGCATGAAAGACCGAAGAAAGAACTTGTAAAAATTCGAATTCGAATTTATTCGATTTTAGCCAATTAGAAAAAAAATCTTATAGATAGAACTTTGTACGAAAATGATCCACTGAAGCAAGAGTTCTCCATTTATCTCCACTATTATTCTTCGTTCAATATTCTTCAAGATTTAATCGTATACAACTCATTTTTCAGATTACGTGTGTAATTAATTTATCAGACAATTAGAAATTCGATTATAATTCGGTTCAATATTCGAATAAAATTCGAGTTCTATTAACGTAACGTTTAAAAAACGACTGGAACTTCGTTGGGAAAAAATTACACCGAAATCTTACTACATTTTCATAAATAAATAATATATATAAATAAATCCGTGATTTAAAAAAACGCGGGCCTCGCGTACGTGCAAGACGATCGGTTTTATTTCACTTGTACGTGTGCCGCGGTGACCGAAGTTTTCAGCGCGGAACTACATTTAAGTTGGCAGATTTATGACGGCCGCGGAAATTATACCGAGATCGTACACAACTCTCCGCAACGTATTATCGAACGGTTCGCGCCAAAAATTTGTAATAATAAATCTCTATCGGTAACGGCAAACGGCGTGAAAAATAAAAAAGAAAAAAAAAAGAAAAGGGAAAAAAAGGAGACACAACAATCTATTATTTTTAACTTACAAAAATATGCGAGGAGAAAAAGATGCGAACTCCTCTTTTTACCGAATCACTTTCACAACTTCTTTCTTTCATGATCTCGTACTCTTAATCCTGAAATATTATACACTGTGATAAACTGTAATAGGCTAATGAGAGCTTAAATTGATCGAAAAATTTTATTTTTTCTTGCTACATATTTCTAATAACATTTAATCAACGATTTAGATTTCCAAATTTTTAAATTATAAAAAATACCTAATATTAATCTCTCGGAAATAAAAAAAGAAACAAAATTACAATATAATATGGCAGAATTAAGAGTACTTGCGATAGAAATCCAATTCTAACTAAACGGATAAATCTTACCGATAATATGGTGGTACTTCTCGACGAACTGAGCGGTGCTTTGAATTCCCATTAGTGCCACGTCGATGTTGGGGTACCAGGGTGCGGAATATCGTGGCTCCGTCTCGACGCAACTAACACCTGACATCTGCTCGATCGTCACATAATTTCCTTTGTTCTG